GCTTTATAAGCAAAGATGGATAGTGGCTAACATTGGAATCCAGGACGCGCGCCACTTCGTCCAATTTGGGAGTCGTCAGCTGGATGTACCTGCATCTCACAGTTGATGTCCACTCCGGAACTCGAACCCAGTACCAATACCAAGTGAATATAACTTCACCCCATTGCAAAAGCAGGTGGCTATCAGGAATCAGTAGCTAAGTGGAGAACACAATGGCGTTTGAAGCGAACGGTACTGGGTTTGAGTCCCAGAGTGAAGATCAACTGTGAGATGCAGGTACATCCAGCTGACGAGTCTCAAATAGGACGAAGTGGAGCGCGTCCTGGATTACACTGCTAGCCACTATCCATCTTTGCTCAGAATATTTTTTGCTTTATAAGGTCTACTAAATGTTTTATATGATCTAAAATATAGTGTTTACTAAAGTTTTTGATTAGAAAAACTAATTGTTTCGGTCATGCAATCTAACTTTAATGGTATTTTCTAAAACTCAGTGTTTAAGCATTAAAATTCATTAGTATTCCAACTATCAGGTTGATTTCAATCTAGATAAACAAGAAAAAGGAAATTATAACATGGCTGCTTTGAAATAAATTAACCATAAAACTATTTAGTGTAGAGCTTTTCAAATGAAGACAGTAACTAAGTTAAAATGTAATCCAGAAATGTGTACTAAAAAGCCGAAAGTTTAATGTATCTACTTTCTTATAGGGACTAAAGAGATTGATATATATATATACACATGACCCTAATTATTCATATTAGAAAGTATAGAACATTATTAAAGCAAAGTTTTGCTGCTTAGTTATTTATATATGTATATATCAACAAATTTAATGAGATAATCTTTGAAAGATCACCACAACTTTTAATAAGCAAACATAACAATTCATTCATATACATAAACGTATATTTCAATCAAGAGAAATAGTTAAAGCATATCATCAATGACAGCTGATATTATACAGATTTTGCTATGACCTACTGATAAGATGAGTAACCATTATTAGATTTAAAATATTTCTTGAAACTTTTATAAATCAATGACTATTCTAAAAATCTTGAAATATAACTGAATATATGTTTCCAATTTGCTAGTTCATAATGATCTTCTGTTGTGTTTGAATGAACTAATGATACCTTTCTACTTGTTTAATGCTTGATTTCGAATTCTAAATACAGTACATTCGTTCGTGTCTATCCAGTACTTCTTGATCCAATCGCGTTGTTTTTGGGATTCTTAGTTCATACTACAATTCAAATACTCCTAATCATCATATCTTGATTAGTCTAGGGAGAAGATATAATGTATGAATTTACTTAAACTGTTAGCAAACATAGTTATTGAATGCTTTCTACTTTACTTGTGTCTGTTACTCCTCATGGAGGAGCATAGGCCGCTCACCAGCAGTCTTCATCCAACCCTGTCCTGGGCAATCTTTTCCAGTTCTTTCCAGTTGGTATTCATTCTTTTCATATCTGATTCCATTTTTCAATGTAATTTGTTCTTTGGCCTTCCACTTTTCCGATTCCTTTCAGGATTCCAAGTTAAAGCTTGCCTAGCGATGCAGTCTGGTGATTTCCGTAATGTATGTTATATACATTTCCATCATCTTTTCTTAATTTTCTTCCTCAGCTGGAAGCTGGTTTGTTCTCCCCCACAGAATGCTGTTGTTGACCGTGTGCATGGCCAACCGATAATGAGTATCTTACATAGACAATTGTTTATAAATAATTTTACCTTCTTCATGTTGGTTGTAGTAGTTCTCCAAGTTTCAGCTCCATAGTTATTGAATAGTGTCATCAAATGATAGTGATACTATAACATAAATCAACCCATGTTATAAAATCTTAGTCCGTAGATTTTTAGTACTACAACATGATATTTGGCAGGTATAAACCTTTGAGGTTTTTTAATACACAAAAATGGATTTCGTATAAAAATAAAAACACATTTAAATGTATCATTAGACACTTGCCAAATATACGATAAGCTTTTATTATATGTGAACAAGTCCAGTGAACTGTATGAAGCTAGACTGATTACCAACAAAGTAGTCATTGATTTTCTAGTCAATATAAGAACTCAAGGTCGCTGTTTTAAACGTTTCGGAACAAAAATTATTTTTATACTCAGTTTTGTTTTGACAGATGGAAAAAATCCAACTATTTTTGTCTGAGATGCTGTGATTTAAGTTCATAAGACACAAGACATAATACCTTGGTGTTTCAAGGCATACATTTATCTCCGGATCTTAGTTGGAACTATATAACAAGCACTTTCCTTAGTTTTACTGATAGTTCTTATTAAGTACTATCGAAATGTGATTAACTTTAAGGTTTGACCACTTATACACAAATTTCAGATGGAAATGTAAAGCTTTAGTAACACTGGATATTTTGCGGTTTATGAGAAAATAATATAGCTTTACAACTCAAGTTTTAGGAACTTTCATACTATTTCCAGACTTTCGAAGCGTTTACACGTTAAATACTTAACTCGTAGAAAATAATGCCTAACATCTTTCCCATCATTTTAATACAACAGTAAACCCTATCAAAACAGAGAAACAAATTACCTCACGACATGATTACATTCTATGCACACAATAAGCATGATTAATGAATTAAACCGAAAATACGATACACAAATAGCTTGAAACTGCAGTAACATACAAAAATGAGTATATATGTTTATAAGTGCTAAAAATGTCATGCAATATTACATAAACATTTATATATTTCTATATAATACAGAGAATTTCCTCCATATCTCATTAAAGCACATCAAGATTATAAGAAAAAATGTTATAAGTAACGAGTTACACACACATGAAAGTAAAATTTTGCAATATAGTAACAAACGAATGGTATTTGACTGCAAAACGATTATACGTAATAGACAAGAAACTTGTAGCATCGTACAAACTAATGTCATTTACGTTATAACGGATTTTCAATAAAAGTAAGTCATACAAACTATAACATGTCACTAAAGATTAACAATGTTTTAAAGTGTCAATTGACTCACGTAAAATCCGAACCCATAATCTGTGCTTTAAAGTATGTATCCTAATTAATTCTAAACAGCCATAATGTTCATTAGAATCTTTGGTTTGTTGCATCACTGAATTTATACAGGGAAACGGTAAAGCTTTTGTTTTCAGTGATATAAGTGATCGAGCCTTAGTAGAGACTGAGAAAACAGAACATTTCATCAGATTTTCTCCATGTCATATAATCCCTCCACCAGTTGATTACCGTTAAGATATATCTTGTATTTATCCTGATAATTAAGGCAGATAGGTTTAATTTAAAAGATATATTAAATATCATCAAACAGATCTACCAGTAGTAGACTAATTTATAATTTTCCACTAAAGCAACTACATACGGTCGTAAGTTTTAGCTGAAACCGACATTCCAAAACCACATCAAACCGCTTTTTAGAGCAGAATTAGTGAAAATTCTAAAAGTATTCCTGAAAATATTTACAAAAACCAACAAGAACCTCGTCCTCACAAATTGTTTAAATACGTTGGACCATATACTCGGATACAGACAAAACACTGCAACATTTTAGAGTCAATGTTTATTTTGAACGCTACACAAGCTCCTAATAGAATAGACGTAGCATTGCTTCATAGGTGTTAAACATTTACAAACGATCAAATTAATAACTATTAGGGAAGTTCTCGTGACTAATCTTTCTGTAGAAGTATATAATTGTAAATAAAGCCCATGAATTTTATACAGTCACTTCTCGAGTTAAGCACAAGCATAAATCTTTCAATCAACCTCAATATAAAACAAATCACGTGAAAGTGATATTTGTGAACAAAACATTACACCATGGAAGTAGTATAACGAGCAATACTTTTTAGGTAGTATTAAGAATCAAACTGACTTTCTCTGATTTTGTTTTATGACTGCTTGGATAGTAAATGGTTAATGTGTAACAAAGAAAGAATTTTGTTTGCAAGATTATACTACATATCAATACAAGCGCACTGGAAAGTAATGTTCTAGCATAATATCTTGACGTTAATTCCTAATTAAAGGGAACATTTTAAATAAAGAACTCGTGAACAATCATGTGATAAGCTTCGATGGATAAACACGCATTTTCATGCCGGTCTATAATTTTTAATAATTTTCTATATATATGTTGAGCAATAAATTGACCAGCCCCGGAAAAATAAAAGCCAAAACTGTTATACCATTAATTAGACTTAAAACCGGTTAACAAATATATATGCATAGAAATATAGGTGTGAGAACCCATCTAGATAATAATTTCCGGTTAGGTCACTAAAAAAACCGAAATGGCTTTCCTTAACAAAAAGACCCCAGAAACAATTCAATATGGTAACCACTGAAAATTTTCGATTATATTATAAAACAAATATATGTAAGAAAAATATTCCATTGTGTAAATTCTCTTTAGTTTCTTCAACTGTATATCCACATAATTAATCTTATAACAAGCCAGGTTTGAGTCAAAGTAGATCGCTTAAAATTGTAACATCTGAATTTAAAATTGTGCGTATTACAGAATAGAAACGTTTTCAATGTTGGGGTCAATATGATAAAGTTTTGAGATTGGTGACCACTATCGATGTGGTCAATGAGGGCTAAGCAAAATTATAATGTAACTAGAAATCAAGAATTTACTATTGGCTCAATAAAAACTTTCACAACTCAGAGAACGATAATTACTAAAATAGTGATATCGATTTACGTGAAACCATGAAGCATTAAAAATGTGTACTCGTATTTGAGCATCAGACATTATACTCTAAGCTAAATGATGGATTCTGCGTCAGTACAATTACGAATTAACATGCTAAATACGACGTATATGTTCAAAAAAGGTTCATGTATTTCTGCATTCACTAAAAACACCTTGGAGGTACAAAAATTAGAAAGTGATGCATTGTTATGTTTTCAACAAGTTAAAATTTTAAATAATTGATCTGTACAAACCAGAGTGAATTTACCTCATTTGACATCATAAACAAATAAAGCTATTTAGAAAATCGCGTCATCCAAAACCAACTCAAGGTTACAGAATGATGTACGCGATACAACTAAACAAAGACAAATTCACCGCATAGTCAGCGAACTGAGTAATATAAATTACAAGTTAAAAATTCCATGTCATTTAAAAGTGTTATTTTTATGTTATGCACGGATATGAAGAGATTTGATTTCTTGACGGTATTGTTCGGAAAATGGGTTGGAGGCGAGACCCAACCAAGAATAATCCTGAAGCTGGTTCTCGGGAGTTTCGAAGAAAGAGACATATTATTGAAAAACGCACCAAAAACTCGTGACTCAAATATCCGTATTCGACCAGATTGGCCGCTTGAGGATCGAATCAAGTGGAAGAATGCTCTTACGGAGTTATGAACTCGCAAATTAAATGGCGAAAATAACCTTACCATTAAGGGTTTTCGGGTAGTCAGGTCTTGGAAGCCAATGCTTCCGAGGCCTGTATGGGTAGAACGATTGATTTCCAAAACACCTTAAGTGTGTGCTACACGAACGCTCGTAGTCTTAGAAATAAAACGTCCGAGCTAAGTCTGATGGTGCAAGAATTATGTCCCGATATAATCGTTGTTACAGAAACTTGGTTCACCGTTGATATAGACTGTTCTCCTTTCATTGCAGGCTATATCTGTATCAGAAGTGATAGAGTTTCAAGTCGCAAAGGGGGAGGTATAATATTATACGTTAGGGATCACTTTCGTATACAATCAACCATATCGGAGGCTCATATCAGTGGCACATGTGAGGTTGCATGTTGTAAGATTAAATCTAGAAATGGGTTAGTGACTATAGGGGGAATATACCGTAGTCCGTCTTGTTTGCTGACGACTTTATCCTAAGACACATCTGTTCTTGGAGTATGGCAGAATGTTGTCTCATCATTGGGGACTTCAACGCACCGCATATCAACTGGATAGAGCTTACAGCTCCAGGTAGTGGTTTCGATAGCGACCTTTTATCTACCGTTATTCAGTGTGCACTTGTACAATGTATCACAAAACCGACACATATTGATTTCAATCATGATCCGTCACTGCTGGACCTCGCCCTCACCCACCACTCTGAGGATGTCTTTGATATCCAGCACCTTCCCCACTAGTGAACAGTGATCACGTTGTAATTCACTTTAAGTTTAGGACACATGGTATACAATTCGTATCTGCTCCACCCCGTCCCAATATCTGGCGAGCTAATATTCCGGAAATCAGAAACTGTGCTATCTCGACCGATTGGTCGGTCGACGCGGATGGATTGATCGAAGATGAATGGAATAAGTTTAAGGCTACATTCGAGTCCGTAACGTCGCCGTTTATCCCATGGTCAGCACGTAAGCTATCACATTGCCCTCCATGGATTAATAAGGAAACCCGGAAGCTGTTAAAGCGTAGGAAACATTTCTGGGACTTATTCTTGTTGACAGGTCATGCACCATTTAAGCGTGAGTACCAAAAATACCGTAATATCTGTAAGAAAACCATAGCCAAATCCCGTACCACTTACGAACGACAGTTAGTATATGATAGCCGTACTTGTCCGAAACGATTGTTTTCGTATGTTAAACGGCAAATGAAACGTAGTGATGGTATTCCCCGTTACTGTTACACGAAAATTCAGAATTACTAGCTGAATCAGATCGAGCAAAAGCTGAGACTTTTTCAGACTATTTTAGCGAAGTCTTCTCTACGTTTATTGTAACAAATACTTGTCCCACTCACACCGAGATACCAACCATTGAATCCTACAGGTGACTGAGGAAACTGTCCTTCCGTTGATAACTAACCTCAAACCTGGTAAGATACCGGGCCCTGACGGGTTACATCCACGGTTGCTGTCATCTCTTGCGGACATTATTTCAAAACCGCTTGCGACACTCTTCAACATGTCCCTCTCACTCGCTCAACTCCCTAGAGATTGGAAGGACGCTATAGTTAGTCCTATATTTAAGGACGGTCAGCGACAGATAGTATCTAACTACCGGCCTGTCAGTCTAACTAGCATAGTCGTTAAGTTACTCGAAAAGATAATTCGGGTTAGGTTGCTAAGCCACATAGATTTACACAATCTGTTAGCTCCTGAGCAACACGGATTTCGTAACAAGCGTTCATGCTTGACTAACTTGCTTATTGCGAGGGAGGATTGGACAGCAGCCCTAGATCACGGTCTGTCTGTCGACGTGATATTCATAGATTTTAGCAAAGCATTTGACAAGGTTTCACACGTAGGTCTTATGCAGAAGCTCACGAGCTTCGGAATAATAGGTACTGTACATGAGTGGATAGGAAATTTCTTATGTGACCGCAGACAGAGAGTTAGGGTCAATGGAACGCTATCCGATTGGAAGCCGGTCAAAAGTGGTGTACCCCAAGGCACCATCTTAGGCCCTCTGCTCTTCCTTCTCTACGTTAATGAGTTACCGCTGTTACTTAGGTCGTCGACATTATTGTTTGCGGATGATGTAAAAATCTGGAGAACAATAAAAAGTGCGGCTGATCATGTGGATCTTCAAGCTGACTTAGACGATTTAGTTAGATGGGCTCGAGAGTGGGGCTTAGAAATCAATGCTAGGAAGAGTGTACTAATGCACGTCGGTCACGGTAATAGTTACCGTTACACTATTGAGGGTAAACCTCTTCCATGCGTTCAAGAGCATAAGGACTTAGGAGTAGTATTAAGTCATGATTTAAAAACAACTACGCATTGCAAAGCAGCCGCTGTCAAAGGTTTTCGTGCGTTATGGTCACTTCGCCGAGCGTTCAAATCTTTTGACGAGGAAACGTTTCGAATTTTATATCCCATATATGTAAGACCACATTTAGAGTACTGTATCCAAGCAGCTAGCCCGTGTCTGGTAAAGGATACTAACTCCCTTGAGCGTGTCCAGCGTGTGGGAACGAAATTAGTGAAGGGTCTTTCTAGACTCCCTTACGATGAGCGTTTAAAACGCCTAAATCTTTTCCCCTTGTCGTATCGTAGGACACGAGGTGACCTTATACTGGCATTTCGTATCTTTAATTATGATTTGGGTGTTAATATGTCTTATCTTTTTGCTCCCTCCAGCACTAATAATCTCCGAGGTCATAGCAAGAAGGTTCATAAACCACGATCTAATAAACTTAAAGTGGGGTCCCGTTTTTCTCATCGAGTAGTCAATGATTGGAACGCCTTACCCGAACAAGTGGTATCAGCCTTATCAGTGAATATTTTCAAGGAGAAAGCAATGTGCCAGGATTAATACAGGTTCATCAACCTACTATCTTTATTACTGAAGACTGAGGAGTTAGCTTGGTTTCAGTTATATACAGGATATCTCAACTACGATTCTACCCTTAACCACCATCATGCGTGATGTATATCATGAACGTTATTTGATTGCAAGACTGTCTCGAACTCAACAAAACTGTCTAGAATTTTCTTTTCGAAACCTATATCTGGGAGACTCATTGACATCTTTACAATAGCTTACAAATTTATCTTTAACACATTTTCAAATACACCCGGAAATCGACTGTGATTTCCTCCTATGATTAACATAAACAGTAAATTGTTCTTTCGAAAAAGGTGAACATATTTTGAATACCAGTACTGGTTTTCGTTATTTAGGAAGACGTCATTTCATCTTCCGTAGCTTACTTCTCAGTTTTCGTGGTAAAAAGTTTCGTTTCTGTAATATGAAGTCAAAAAAAGTAGTCTCTCTTATGTCCGTTACAGTAGACTCAGTATGTTTAGTCGCCGTTGTGTAACTCGACTTTTAGGTTTGTATTGATATGACTCTTCCACATATAGTAGGTATATTTTACATATATGAAGACCTTGGGTTACATTTAAAGTGTTCAGAGTCTCTACTGTCTGATGAAGGTGTACCACAAGAAACCGTTATTTCAACTCTTCTTTTTCTTCTGCATGACCTGTCATCCTCCACGGAAAACACTTTTGTGAAATATGCAGATGATCTCACTGTATGTATGCCTCTCTCTTCCTCTTTACATCCCACCGAAATTAATGAGTTTTTGTCGCGTATTTATTGTTGGTCTATTGTTAATGGTCTCAGACCTAATCCATCTAAATTTCGAGCTGTTAACTTTAGCATGAGACATAAACGGAATCTAAATACCATATCGGAATCTCATAATGCTTGTGCCATTGGAGGTTCTTTGATAAACACAGTGTTGAAGGTCAGTTATCTTGGTGTTACTTTTTTCTTCTGGTCTTCTCACGTTTTACTGTTGCCGAATAAAGTTTTCGACTGACTTACTACATAAATAGGCTTCACGCTTTCGGGATTACTCGTCATTTACTCTTACAATTTGTCAATTCTTGCATATTACCTATTATTCTTTACTGTTCTCAATTATTCTTTCCCAGACTTTCGAGAAAAGACTTTCCTGTAATACAGAAAGTGCTGAAGGCAGTTAGAAAGACGTGTGGTGAATCTTCCGAGGTCATAATTAATATGATTGTGGACAGACATGTAAAGTCATGCAAACTCTTAGCAAGTGTTATTTTATCAGATAATAACCATCCCCTTTACTCCTATCTTTCTCATTGCATATCTTCTAGTAGAACGAGACGTAATTACACTAAAATCCATACACGCAAGCAAAAGCATAAAAGTTCTATAATACCTTACCTAGCAAATATACTATGTGACGAACAGGTTGTTAGAGTTAACTTAGTCAACAATCTGTATTTTTAAACATGCCTCTAATTTGGAAAATCGTACAGTTTTTCGGCTTCTCTATTAACCTTTTTCCATTCTTCTTTGTTTTCGTTTTTTGTGAAAGAAACTCGTTGAAATATCTTGTGCTGAGAATATTATGTTGTACCAAAATATAATAGTGAATAAAGCCACTAATAATAATAAAAGTAATGAAATTTTAGGATTGAGCAAAAACTTCAGATACCCCTGGCTGGACAACCAATTGTACCGCCTAACTCTTTTGGTCAAATATGTGCGATTCTGATTGCTATTTACTAAGTCTGTAATCATTTCGCCCGTTAAATGGTCTAATACCGCATATGGCGGTCCACATATACCAATTGTTTCTGCATCTCTGTAATCTTGTGCAACGAAATTTTTAGGTTTTTGTGATAGTTTTAGATGGCTCTTCGAATGAAGAGACAAGTGGTGTTTTACTTTGTTACGCTCGACCAATATGTGTGTTTAAGCGCCTTAATCTTTAGTTATATACGTGTAGAAGTATGGTCTACTTCGATATTAGTACCGCTCTAATAATAGACCTAATCCAAAAATAGTAGATTTGTTATGATGTAATGTTGAATGTTGAATACCTATTTTACCAGTTGTTTCGTGTTCAACTTTGAGTGTGTATGGCTAGGGCCCAATGCCACTACATATGTGACTCGTGACTGTTAACGAGTACTAGCCTGTGGTGTCCGAGCATTTGGTGTCCAGACAGTTTTGGACCTAGAATGGAAGAGCCTGTTTCAATTTTTTTCTTGAATCGATTACATTGCTGACGTGGTCGCCAGCTAAAATTTAGTAGTGACGCATGAACTATGATGGTAACTTACCATTCCTTAGGAAGGCCTCTGAATAATTCGATCGTCTGGTAACGACAGATGGTTCGTTTTCTGACGTCCTGAAATAGGGATAAAGATTTATTTCCAACAACTATAAGTTAAATGACGCATGCAAATTTACAGACATGCCCAAATGGTTAGAAATGTTGCGTCATTTATGATGTCAAGCGTTTGTCCATTTTCTTCGACGTGTAATATCAAAACTTCTAATGAGAAGTCAGGATAACAAAATAGACAGTTGTTGGATTAAAACTGAATTTTACAGTGTAGAAGATGGAGCGCCATATGGATGCTTCACAACAATAGACTGTTGGTAGTATGTGCTGCAGACGTCATGAAGTTTACAAAACGCAGAATTTCGCGCATGTTTTCATGTTACCTAACACTAGTATTCGGTTAGCTGCTATAACAGCCTTTATTGATGCAAGAATTTCTATTGGAAATACGAAATGATAAGTACTTTGGAGTCACTTCCCGGAAACGTAATTTGGGTTTTGCATTATGATGATGTACTTGACGTTTACTGATGCGACAATCTGAGGATTGTTTTCTTCCATTATGATCATTCGCATCAAATTGACCTTTCCTTCCGTCTAGGACTGTTCATTTGAGAGGACATACGAAAAAAGTTCAAAAAACCGAGATCAAATCACTTACGTCTGGAATTTCGTTTCTCGCACCGAGTAGTGAAGTACTGGAATTCTGTACCAGGACACGTAATATCAACACCTTCTGTTGATACATTTAGGTGCTTTGTATTATTGTTGTTTACATCTAGTGAACCAAGAGTATCGTTTGCAGCGCTAGCTTGAGTTCACTGCCAGCTTATGTAGTGTACTATAATCATCTAGAAGTCTATTTAACTCATGAATAAAACGGCTTATTGTCTATTTCTGATACAAATCAGCTGATAGCACATTCCAGATGACAGAAAATGTATTTAGAAAGAATTCTTGTCCAACAGTATATCTACAATCTTTCATTCGACCAACCCGGTGAGGTGTCTTAGTTCATAATTGAGAAAATCAGTGAAACCAAACAATTAATCGGCAAAATACGGTGTCTGGTGTAAAACTTACTAACTAAGCCCTGTTACATTTCGTGGAGGACCATAGACCGCCCAACAACGTCCCCCACTGAATAATGTCCTGGGTAATCCTTTCCAGTTGGTCCCAGTTACTATTCGTCCCTTTTACATCTGCTTTCGATTCTCAACGTATTCTGTTCCCTGACCTTCCTCTTTCCTGTATCGTTTCAGGGTTTCAAGCTAGAGCTTGCCTTGTGATGCAGTTTGGTAATTTCCGTAATGCATGACCTATCCACCTCGAACGTGTTTCCCTAACTTCCTCTTCAGGAATTCATTACCTCAGGAGGTGATTGAGGCTCCATCCATCGACTCTTTCAAAAGAAAGTTGGATCAACTGAGAGACCATCATTGCCAGGACTAACACAGGCCATCAAGACTACTGTCCTTTCCAAACTGAAACATTCGTTTTTCTTACTGAGTAGTGAATTACTGGAATCATCTACAACACCACGTATCATCATCACCTCCTGTTGATACAATTGAATTGATATTAGACCCCCACAGTGTTATAAATTGTAGGGATAATTATGGGCTGACAGACCTCCTATCTTTAATACTGAAGACTAAGACGATTGCTACGTGTTTTCCATAGAGCACATTTCGGAATTTATTGTCAATCAAATTAAAAAACGAGAGCTCTTAGGTAACACACCCATTATAAACGTTAAAAAAGTTGACTGACATGCTTTTCGTTCCTCAGATGTTCAGAACTGAATCTTGTTTATTTCTGTCAGTTGTTAAGGTCACGTTCCGTCCACCACCAACAAATACCTGACATGCCGTGCTACAACTTCAAGAGTATCACGGTAGTACCGTCATCCAAAGACTTTATTGACATCGTCTTGTCGAAAACTCAAAGGAAAACCCCGACTGTTATTCATCCGCAATATGCAATCGGACGTATTAGACATTTTTATATGCGTAAAGTCAAAACGTGTCAGCAGTTTTACCATGATAAACTTCAAACAATTCTCACAGAATTCCCTAAAGTGGAGGTAGCTAAGCAATTTTTCAAAATAAGGTTTAGAATATACATCCATTCTATGCAGATCTCATAAACGTTTTATATTCCAAAGATCACTACAAACTTGCATTAAGTCAGCTTAATACTGCCAAGAATTTGATTGATGGGTAATATCTTTTACTTTCATATATTATTCTCAGCATCGGTCGAGATCAGGTGAAGATATTAAAGTATGCAGAATCCCTATATCAATGTAAAACACTCAAGCGAGCTGCTCTAGGAAGGCAAGTTAAATAAATTACAATTAACCAAAGGTTAGAATGTGTACAGTAATCAAGAGACAAGCAGATAACTTGAAATTCTTGGAAGATACACGACAACACATGTCTAGGTTACCAAGCATTGATCCGGATACTCGCACTATCATCCTATGTGGTTTCCCGAATGTTGGAAAGTCGAGCTTTATAAATAAGGTAAGTTAGCAAGTTTGGTATCCTCTTTTGCCAGTATTATTATGTATTCTCGAGCCGCGTGTGTATTTATGTAACTATGATCTCGGTCCCATGTTTTATGCTTTGCTAATTCATGTAAACTACTTCCACATTTTCAGACGAGCAAACTACTCTCAGAAAAAAACGAACGAGAAAAAGCTAGGGGAATCACTAGATCGTTTTAAAAAAGTAGATGTCACATTGCTTTAAATAATATTTTTTTATGCTGAATATTGTACTGACCAGTTACAATAAATCCAGAGATTCATTTGTGAATTGTAATTTGTCAAGTTTCCCTGAGTGAACTGATCTATCTAAATGATTATAATTCCGGGTCTGTATATCTCACTGACAAAAATCAAATGATAATAACTTTACTCCCAGTCAATTCAACAAACCAACGGTGTTACCGGCTGTTCCCAGTTGCATAGAAATAGTCACATTTCCAATTCCAAGACTCATCTTTTTAGGTATTTCACCCTAAATTCATCGTCAACATATTAAGAGTGTAGGTTTCGTGTGGCGAAAAACAACAAACGACCAGACTAGTGTGATACCAACCAGTATTTATCCATAATTTTGGATGCTTTGCAAAACTTTGATTATGATATATAAGATTTAATGTAATCTATTGACACCAATATGACATCTCTGCTCATCATACTGTTATGTTATTCATAATTTCCACAAAAAGTTCCATTTGCTGGGACGGAACTACTTACTAAACCAAAAGTTATAGATTTTAGCTATTTGAATCCTTTTAGTTATAGTGAGTTTTCAGATGCCCTTAATATAAGTCAGTCAGTCAGCTACAACGTAGGACCAGGCACATATATGCATCGGTCCAAGCTGCCATTCCTCATTAACACAACAAGATGGACACCTGATTCATAAAAGTAGTTAATTCAGAGGCGGTAATATCTAAAAGAAAGATTGCAATAAGGATATAGTACAGGAAGAAAGAATTAGTTCGTAGAAAGAAAGACATGAAGCGATTTTAATCTCTTAGTTTAAGGGAAGACAAGGAGTATATACAGCGACGCCATTGTGATCGATTCTGAGCCATGTCACCAAGAGTCTCCAACCATTGGTTACGATAGTCACGCGGACCCCAACCAAGTAGTCTGCATCTACCAACATGGCTCAGACTAGAAGTTAGTGACTTCAGGCACTGATGCCACGCTTTGGTTTGGCCACCCCTAACTTTCATCCAACCATCTCCAGCACCGGTTAGCATTGTACGTCATGGTAATCGATGTTCAGGCATACGAAACACGTGACCCAACCATCTCGGTCAATGAAGATTCATAAACTGATCAACTGATTTACCATCATTCCTTAATACCCTGCGTCTAACCTCACTATTACTTACCCGGTGATCCCAGCAGACGCGAGCAATATTTCTAGGGCATCTGTGGTCAAATACTAGTAGCTTACGAGTGTCTTCTACTCTTAATGGTCATGTTTCGCTGCCGTAAATTAAAACAAAACGGACTGCCGCGCAGTATACTCGTCCTTTTATTGATAGACGGATATCTCGCCTTCGCCATAGGTGACGCAAGTTGGCAAAAGCCAAGCGAACTTTTTGAATCCGTGCTGAGATTTTGTCAGACACCAACCCATTAGGGCTGATCAGACTTCCAGCGCTTAATATAAGTGGTTATCTCTGCTAGCCATTAAGCTTCATTTACATGTATATGGCTTTTGATTACTTGTAAAACTATCATTCTAGTAACCATACACAACTAAAGTGGAGTTTTTGTGTGGGAAATAATCTCTAGGAATTGAAACTGAGATAGTATAAGAACTTTCAAGTATTCTCTTTATATGGTACACTTTAATGCTAAACAGCTGCATCAGTCATATTAGAATTGACACAGTAGAACAAAATTCAACTTGACACTAGTTTAGCCAGTCTTTTACACGTTTAAAAAATTTAGACGTTTCTTCACATTGACGTAATTACCAAATAAATTCTAGTGAAATGGTGTTTTTTTCATGAATAAAGCTTATTTTTCCATTCATGTGTATACATCGAAATGTGATATCCATTTACCTTCATTTCTTCATTCAGATAACTCGAGCTGATGTAGATGTTCAACCGTTTCCGTTTACAACTAAATCTTTATTTGTTGGACACACGGATTATAAAAATTTACGATGGCAAGTAATTGATACACCTGGTGTATTAAATAGACCCTTGGACGAACATAATACGATTGAAATGCTGTCCATTACAGCACTTGCACATCTACAGGCTGCTGTAATATATATTATGGATTTGTCTGAACAATGTGGATATACTATACAACAACAATTAACGCTATTCCAAAACTTGAGACCTCTTTTTCGTAACAAACCTCTTGTAATAGCTGCTAATAAAGTAAGTTTGAAACCTCCAAATAATTGATGTGTTGTTACATCACTCTATATAATTATATCATCAGAATCCACTATTGTTACATTTGCAACTTCTTAATTAATTGTAACTTAATCCTAATGGTTGTCGATCCTTATCTATAAATTCGAATTCTTTACTTGTGTCAATCCCTAGGATAAGATGACAGTGGTTTCAGTTTACTGAACTGTTAAAAAACTAATAATAATAATTATTCATGTAGACTCAGATAGACCCATGTTTTTAAAGCGATTTCCGTTAGAAAGCTAATGAATACCACAAAGAAGTTCCGTAAAAGTTCTGTCAGTCTAACCTATCCGTTTCTTAAACTGCAAGTAATTACAGCTGACTTTTAGAACTTTGATGGATGGAAACAGTGACGATCTAAGTTAGACTACTTAAACTGCAGTTCAAGAGGTTCAGATGATATTCATCACTAAATTTCCAGATAAGCCATGTAATATATTGATGTGAAAGGTCAAAATGATTTTCTCGCCTGTTGTTTATTTTTTGTTGTACTCAACCGAAGTAGACATGTAAGTCAACCTAAATCCCGTCTAATGCTAAAAGAGCCCATTGCGGGCAAGTGATAAGTAGAAGTTTCTTGTCAACAACATCCAACTATATACCATCAAAACAATGCTATCGTTCATCACCTAATTGTAAACCTATGATCAGGTTATTCTATTTGAACTGTTAGAAGTATACTGCGCGGCAGTTCGTTCTGTTTTAATTTACGGCAGCGAAACATGATCCTTAAGAGTAGAAGACACCCGTAAGCTACTAGTATTTGACCACAGATGCCCTAGAAATATTGCTCGCGTCTGCTGGGATCACCGGGTAAGTAATAGTGAGGTTAGACGCAGGGTATTAAGGAATGATGGTAAATCAGTTGATCAGTTTATGAATCTTCATCGACTGAGATGGTTGGGCCACGTGTTACGTATGCTCGAACACCGATTACCACGACGTGCAATGCTAACCGGTGCTGGAGATGGTTGGATGAAAGTTAGGGGCGGCCAAACCAAAACGTGGCATCAGTGCCTGAAGTCACTAACTTCTAGTCTGAGCCATGTTGGTAGATGCAGGCTACTTGGTTGGGGTCCGCGTGACTATCGTAACCAATGGTTGAAGACTCTTGGTGACATGGCTCAGAATCGATCACAATGGCGTCGGTGTATACACTCCCTGTTTTCCCTTAAACTAAGGGATTAAAATCACTTCATATCTTTCTTTCTACGAACCAATTCTTTCTTCCTGTACTATATCCTTATTGTAATCTTTCTTTTATATATAACCACCTCTGAATTAACTACTTTTATGAGTCCGGTGTCCATCTTGCTGTGCTAATGAGGTATGGCAACCTAAACCGATGCACATATGTGCCTGGTCCTACGTTGTAGCTGACTGACTGACTCTATTTGAACTCTCCGTTATAAAGATAACTGGGTTCGGTCTGAAAATTTTACTTTTTTATTTGTCCATACATTTCTCACTTATTTTTTTATTATCTCTGCACTCTTCTGGGCTATACTCAAGACTGGAAAACCAAGTTTACTTATGTTTTTGCAGTCTTTGAAATTTCTATCATAGTCACCTGTTGTATTATGTTATCCTAACTTATACTCACCAAAGAGGGGTAGTCACTGAACATAGGTAACACATGCCCCAATAACCGTAACTAATGAAGCTTTAAAACCGTATGAACTAATTTGTCAGTGTAGCCTATAAATGTACTCCTAACAGCAGTATTTTTTACTTAGCAGTAACTCCGCGTCCAAACAAACCTTCGAAAAACTAACTGAATGTTTACAACTATATCTTGATTTTTCACACCTTTGACTTAATACAAAACGAACAATTGTGGAGCATATTCGCCCTTCGGTGTCCACAAAAACTTTGCTAACGACAGATGGTGTATGTCGGTAAGTGGGTCCAGTTCTGTGTCACTGTCTCCAGTACGCATAACTACGTTACATGCGTAACCCAAGTAGATTTGAGCTGATTGACTGAGAAGTAAGCGATGTGACAATCCAGATAAATGGTAGCTAGTTCGACAACAGAAATCTCCAATCTTGTTAACCACCTAACTATGTTTTGCTTCGACGATCAGTTCTGTACTCAATTTATGGTACAGTAACTTTTGCATCGAAGCTATATCAAATTTGATTAGGTTTTTCCCTAACCAAAACAGTGGCTACCTCGTCACCACTTCTAAAACATACCGTTATACATCGAATCAGTTTCGTCCTTCTCACTGTCTTCACCAGACAAAACTACATCTGAAGGACCATCTGGCATTTCAGCTCATTGTGAACGTCACGATAACAAAATAAATCCACAGGCGATCAGACAAATACTAGGTATTTCTTTCGACATATCAATAACAACGTTGAGTAAAAACAAAAAAGCAAGCAATCCCAACAGATACCAGATAACAACATTTGGATAGTGACTTTCTAACATTGCAAAGCACTATTGCTATCACTTCCGCTGAACCTTGCCATCGATACCAATTATAGGTTACGATTCAAAATTATAACCTTAATGGTGGCGAATTTTTTTTATTTAATGTTACAACTGGTGTTCAGTTTGAATTCGTTACCTACTATTATGTTGACGTTACTTCATAGAATATTATTTAACTTACATACCCCATCATACTCATGATGAACTTTAGATCAATAAAATAAACTGGTTGGAATTTCTGACTCCTTAACTTTGTCTTGCTTCATCGATCAGTTCTATACCCTCATTTGGTACAGTACCTTTTGCTTGGACCCTGTATTAAATTGACGAGGTATTTGTTCCTAACAAAAACATAGAACTTATATCTTAGTTTTTATTCATCTCAAAAGTGATGTTGCCGAATTTAAAATCTCTCTCATCTTCGATGTTCTTGTCGATATTTTTTCAATCTAGCAGTATTCATAATCACTACTTCAACTGATTTTATTGATTTCCACGTTAGGGTACCGCAGATTTCGCTTTCTGCAAAACATCATCCATGTTTCAGTGCTCCAGTCCTACTTCACGTTAATTTGTTTACCTTTCTTTTTGTACAAACGCAATAATGTAGGTTTCTGCAGTCATTTATTAAAAAGATGTTCCTCGATCTATTTTTGTGTTCCTACTTACAAGGAAGGGCTTTCCGGGAGAGATTTAAAGTTTTATACCTATTCCCTTGCAGAGTAATTAACATGGGTTGTTGTCTCATACTGGGACTAAACAGCTTTCCACTGCTTCCTCGCTCTTCATAGTTATATACTTAAAGTCAGTACGTGATGTAAACCATAAACGAATAATCTCTATACACCTGCATTAATATAAACCAGATATTTATTAGTGACCAATGTCTAGAGGAAATTCCCAGAATTTCGGTAAAAGCAGTGATTAGTAGTAAAGTTCAATTATATGTAGCAAGATAAGTATCTTCCGATCTTCATCATACAAATAAAGTCGTAAATTGAAAGTTGGTGGAGAAGATTTGTAGCTCAGGTGGATGATTTTGGTGGAGTTTTGTTCTCTGAGCTGGATGGTTTGGTCGTGGAGCTTTCATCGTTCTTCTGAACCACATCGTCAGCACAAACTTCAGATAGAAGTGAAGTGTTTGAATTTCTCCATATGTGTCTCAAAGCTTGTTCTGTGTCAATAAGAACCAATCAACGTCGAGGTGCACAGAACAAGCTTTGAGACACATGGAGAAATTCAAACACTTCACTTCTATCTGAAGTTTGTGCTGATGATGTCGTTCAGAAGAACGATGAAAGCTCCACGACCAAACCATCCAGCTCAGAGAACAAAACTCCACCAAAATGACATTTAAGTGCATAGAAAATAAGTGTTTTACTATAGTGACAGATGCTTAAGGTGGGTTTCTCTATATTATGTTTATTTGAATAAACCACTCACAAACTCAATCGTCATTAGGAGTAAAGCACGTAATTTCTAGTAAATGGATAATTTTGTATTCCAAATAATCTTAACACTTTTCCATGTAATGGTGGCTTATTAATATTTTTCTAAAATGAAGCTTATAACTAATTGGTTTCATTCATTAAATTAAAAACAGTTCAAAAAATCGTAAGAACTCAAATAACTTTCAATTCATCCTTTCCAGGTTGATATCAAACCATTTGAAGCACTATCTGAGGAAGATAAACAACAAATTAATAGTATTGTCCAGTGGCATACTGATAGACAGATCAGAGATCCGGATCGACCAATCTTTGTAGAAATGTCCACTGTCACTGAAGTTGGTTTAGTAACTGTTCGTTCAGTTGCATGTGATGACTTGTTAGCTCAACGTGTACAAGCAAAAATTCGAGCTGCCGCTCTGCCAGGCAGTAATGTTGATATCTCTAATCGATTGTATATAGCTAAACCGAAACCAGACGGAAACAAGGTAATGTCATACTTTTTTTGCAGGTGAATGGTTATACTACATGCTAGTTTTGTGGTTTTATATGCTTCTACATCTAACATTTGTCACTTGACAAAACATCACTGTCCCAGTTCACGGGATATACCGCATCTATGTGCTGGGACTCAATTCCATCTTGTGTGGTTTTGACGTCCAAGTAAAATCATTAGCCTTCTTACAAAAGTATATCTCAAAAATCTGTATACAAACCTGGACTTGTTTACCGTGTTGTATCATAATTTGTGCACCTTGACAAAATAAGACCTCAAGATTGAATTCACTCAACTGCCTCACTATCGTCACAGATTTTGATAATGAGCCATATCCGACAACATCTGAAGTCACTAGGTTTCACGACCTTTAAGACTCCGGCGAGTCACAGCTTAGGCAGTGCTAATCTCACGCAGTAGCTCAGTCGTTAGCGTGTTCAACTTCCGACCACAGTCACAATTTCAAACCACATCCCACTTGGTTTTGACCAATCGGGCAGTATCGCTAACCTTCATGGTTACTGAAGGCCAAGTACACAAATCCGTACATGGTAAATGAGTTGAGTTAATCAATCTCAAACATTTCAAACATACCACAAACGAAGGCTGTTACGTAATGAAATCGGGCAAAACTTAAGTAAGGACCGAGAAGCCTGGTGGTCGGGGCGTGCTAATGAGCTGGAAGCAGCAGCTGCATCTAGCAACTACCGGAAGCTCTTCCAACTCATCCGAGCCACTGGCATCAAGAAGTCTGGTGTGAGCGAAACAATCTGCGAAGATGACGAGATGCCAATCACTAACATCCATCGACGTCTTGAACGATGGGCAGAATTCTTCGAAGGGCCTGCTGCTCCGGCAACATCGGTCGGACTGTCCTGCCCTCCATGGCCGGTGACGACTGATCCACCAAATGAGGCGGAAGTCTGCAAGGAACTCCAACTCTTGAAGCGCTACAAATCACCGGGCCCAGATGACTTGCCTCCAGCTCTTTTTAAAGATGGTGGTGACTTTCTGGCTAGGAACTGACAACGTTGTTTACAAAGATTTGGAAACTAAAGAGCGTACCAACGTCATGGAATGAGTCGGTAGTTGTTCCTATCTTTAAAAAGGGTTCACGTCATTCCTGTAACAACTATCGGGGGATAAGTCTACTTCCGATTGCGTCCAAGCTATTGGCTTCCGTCATACTCCGTAGGTTGTTCAAAACCCGAGAAAGATTGACTCGCGAGGAGCAGGCTGGGTTTCGTTCAGGTTGAGGATGTATTGATCATATCTTCACCCCCTCCAAATGTTAGAACACCGCCATACCTATCAAAGGCCAACAATCGTAGTGTTTCTTGACATCAGGGCTGCCTTCGATTCGTTGGATAGGACTGTTCTCTGGGATTGTCTATTGAAGAAGGGTGTGCTTGAGAAGTTTATTAACATCCTAAAGGCCCTATATACAAACACCTCAAGCAGAGTGAGAGCATACAACCACCTTTCTTCATTGTTCTATTCAAGCAGTGGGGTTAGGCAGGGTTGCCCAATCTCACCATTCCTCTTCAACTTTGCCATCGATGACTTCTCAATCTTGAGTATGCCATGCAATCCGCACTTAATCAGTTAGCAATCAATGTCCGTAGATACGGTATGTGCTTTGCACCTTCGAAGTGCAAAGTACTTCTACAAGACTGGCAGTATTCTAATCCTGTACTCGCCCTGGATGGTGAGCAGATAGAAGTTCGTGTATCTAGATAGCTGCACAAGCGCTGGTTGTGGCATGAGCGGTGATGTCAATGCACGTATAGTGAAAGCCAGAGCCAATCTGGTCCATCTTTGGCGCCTTCATGATGTTAGTCTGGCTGTAAAAGGTCGGATCTACAGCGCGTCGGTGAGAGCAATTTTGCTCTGTGCTTGTAAAACCTGGCCTCTTTGAGTTGAGAATGTTAGACGACACTGTGTGCTTGATCGTCGTTTTCTCCGAAGGATTGCTGATATCTAGTAGCAACACCATGTTAGTAATGCAGAGGTTCGGCATCGTGTGTTCGTGCACAGAGGTGATAATTCAATTGGTGTCACTGTCTTGAAACACCGACTTCGGTGGCTTGGACATGTTCTAGGAATGTCGTCCCAGAGAATTCCACGTCGTGCATTATTTGCTGACTCTGGGACTGGTTGGAAGAAGCGGAGAGGTGGTCGGTTTATGACATGGTGTCATGGCATGAAAAAACGCTGCAAAGGGCTGGCTTCTGTTGGTCCTTCACGACTCCTTGGCTGGAGTCCGAGTGACGGTGCGACACGGTGGCTATAGACCTTATCAGATGTGGCTCAGAATCGAAGTTAGTCGCGATCCTGCTGTGACCTTTTACTTTCTTAATAAAAAGTGGTTGTATCTTAACTAAAAGAGTTCTTCTGGTTGTACCTTTCTGTTCCCCCCATTATTATTATTAGTGGTAGTACACTACCTTACACTAATTTGTGGTCGTTATTGCTCTTTTTTTTCTTTTACGCTCCTTATCTTCTTTTTTCTCTTCGAATTCTCATTGTTTTGTGTGGCGCATATATACTTGGTGCCCTCTTGTACCAATATTTATGTGTTCAAATAAATTAAGTATCAGGAACTCTTATTTAAATGTTAATATTTTTCACAGTCCTAGTTTTAACCGACCGATGACATTTTTTTTTCTAGTCACCCTGATCGATGCACTTTTCTTGCAAATTTATTTTAATGTAGACAGACGCACCATCTCGTCCACCGATAATCCCCGACGGTGTTCTAGATAAACAAAGGAGACGTATGCTAAAACGTCTTCGTATTGCTAATTCACTCCAACCTAGCTCGCAACTTGAAGACGAAGATGAAGACTCATCGAAACGTTGTCGAACGGTGCGTGATCGTGAACCAGAAGCTGATCCTGATGAAGGCTTCATATTGAATTTAAGAGAGCATTGGCGTATAAAATGTCCTGAAGAGGCAAATGATATAATCCCTGAGATTTTGAATGGACATAACTTGATCGACCTATTCGATCCTGAAATTGAGGAGAAACTAAATGCATTGGAAGAACAAGAGGCTGCTTTCGAAAATGCTGGGTTTTACGATGAATCTGAACTACTGAAACAGGAAAATGACCCAGAAATGAAAAAAATCAGAGAAACCGCAGCGAAGTAAGACTTTTTACATATTCTATTGAATCTATATGTATAACCGTTAGTAACTTCAGCTGCTTCAATTCTAGATTTGAAAGAGACGAAGCTTGATTTTTTCGTATATTGATATTGTTGACCTGTCAAACTGTTATATCTTCATGATCAGTATTTTAGTAGTAATAAAGTGAGAAGCTACTAAACCCAGCAGCATGAAATTTAAAATTATACCATTCAAATGCATCAACGCTTAAAAGTGAGACTGATTCAGATTTTTTGTCCTACTTTCTGTCTATGCGTTAGCCTATTCGTGTTACATGTTTGGTGTGATTGCACCATGAACCATAGTAAACCTTTTGACTGGGATGGATTATCTTCTTTGTAATCACTTTTTTCTTCGTAAGCTTTGTTGTGTTATATCAGGCTTAAGTGCATGTAATCGTCTCTATTATAGGATAAGAGAGGCACGAGCATTGCGTGTTTTGGAATCACGAGCTCGTAAGCAAGTACGTAGACCTCAAGTACCTCGAAGCGCCCGTTCAGTCAGTGTACATAAAATACATCAAGAGCTGGGTGAGCTTGGTTTAGAAGTGGATATGCATGAGCAAGTAAGTCAGTGTTTCTTTATTTCTCTCCTTCAATCAACTTTTAGAAGTATAGTTATATAAATTTTTAAAGGGATTTTAGCTGTTTAAATCACATACTTTCCCGACAATCTGGTCGGAATTTTCCACAGATAGAGGACTTGTTGCTTATATTAAATAGCTTTTTCACATTTCGTACGTTTAGTCGACAAAATAACCTTAGGTATTTGTTCTTTATAATTTTTAGGGCGAACGTGGTCGTTCACTAAAGAGAGCTGCTAGAGCACGGAACTCAGCACCAAATCTGCACCGTGAGGCTTCAATTGCACGTGCATCTGTATCGCGATCTAGATCTGGTTTACGTGATGAAAAAATGCATGATACCGTTAAACGCATGACCAAAATTGCTCAACGTAAGGTGGTAACATTAGCACGGAAAGGAGAAGGAGATCGTCATATTCCAACACTAAAACCAAAACATCTGTTTTCAGGCAAACGAGGAACTGGGAAAACTGATCGTCGTTAATTTATTCCTTTTGAGTGATTTTATAACAATAAGATATTTTTTAAAAAATCACTGGTTTGCTTTTAGAACAATTTGTACGCATATGATAAATATAATATCGTGGTTTTCAATGCAAGGATAAAATTTACCGTGTTGACAAAACAAAAATCTGATTTCCACGCATTTGACCTCTGTGATCGCTTATAAGTTTTTAAACGTTATCTCATCTAAAAGTTTGGTGTAATGATTAACAGTTCCACCGCGAGCTGCATTCCAAACACCAATTTCTCCTGACGGTTTATAAACCATTGAAAGACCACATATAGGTTCACAATTCACTCCAGTAAGCTCCAGACTAGTAGGGATTTGTGCATCACTATGTGCTGTTGCTGGATCATACGGATAAACAAGAGTTCGTCCGTCATTTCGGCTAACAACAAGCAATAGATATTGACAATTAGGTCGCCTACATACACGTATTTGTTGAACAGTTCCTTTTTCATCTATTTCAAAGAATTAAATAAATATTCAATGTCACAGCATTATGAAATTTTAGGATTAAATATTACTGGCAATTATTGTTATTCTACTCAGGTTTTTTTTGACGTAATTCAATTTCAAAAAGGTTGATAATTAAGATATCAATGACTTTCTCAAATATCAACTTACGAGTTAACTGCCATAACGGTTGTTTGTTTGACGTATATCCCATGAGGCAAGTTCTCCTTGCTGGCCACCGGCAAAAATTCCATAGTCCATAAAGCTAGAAACACAACTTCTAGGTACATCGATGAATTGAATTTCTTTTGAAAATGGTATCGGTATATCTTCAGGAAAAGCACATGCCTCGACCGATCCACTGGCACTCGGTAACGTACACTGAGCAACACAGCCTTTCTGACGAGCACCCAGCTCATATAAACGAACTGATGCATTAGTACCAGTCCCAACAGCAATCAGGGCATCCGATGTAGCAACTTCTTGGGCTGTTGTTGAAGATGTCTCTTGAACTGTTAAGTAATAAAGCAACAGGTAAACAATGCAGCTGAATTCAGATGTATTCTTATATACCGCTGGGAATTGACTATATATGTGTATCAGGGGAAGCACAAAATATAGTGGACAGCTTGGATGCAACTAGACGATTTGGACATCTATCACATACACAACAACAAATGTAAGTGAAGACAGCCTGTGGGGCAGTAGTCCTCAACATACACAAGGGAAAAGGCCAGATCTTCAGATACTACACAGCGAACACAATCACACTTGATAGAGAAGCTTTAGAAGAGGAGTAAAGGTATACGTACCTGGAAATCATCGATAAACAAGGAGGACCCGGTGCAGACGTAAATGCAAGGGCCGCATTCCTACAGTTGAAGAACATATGGAACTCAAAACAACTGTCAGGATCTTCAATATGAACGTCAAGACAGTTTTACTGTACGGAGATGAGACGTAGATTACTACAACTATCACCAAAAAGGTGCAAGTATTTATAAACAGTTGTCTGCGCAAGATACTCAGTATCCGTTGACCGGATACCATCAGTAACAGCCTACTGTAGGAGAGAACAAGCCAGCTTCAACCTGAAGAGGAAGTTAGGGAAACACGTTCGAGGTAGGTAGGACATGCATTACGGAAATCATGAAACTTTACCACGAGGCAGACGCTAACTTGAAATCTTGAAGGGATACGGAAAAAGAAGGCCAAGGAACACACAACGTCGAGAATCGAAAGCAGATATGAAAGTGATGAATAGCAACTGGAAAAGATACTTTAGTCTGACATGTATGCATGATGAGGAATAGTGATGCACAACATAAATGTAAAATATATTTTGCTATTAGAATATTTGCTGTCTTTATTCAAAAATTTTTTAATATTACAATATAATTAAAATAAACAACCTATAACTTGCCTTCATACCAGGAATCTGGGTTGATGAGATCAGCTGTTTGAATCGGTAAACTAGGATGTTTTCGGATCGCTAAACATGTTGTTTCTTCGAGAACCGTTAAAGAAACAGTACGTGGCTTAATAGCACTAAGGGTTACTGGGATTGCTGATATACAAGTCTAAATGGAATAAGTAAGAATATAAAAATTTCACAGTAACTCATAAGTGAGTTCCTTTGATTCAATGTAACAGGGCCAACGCAATAGAATTAATATTTTTTAACTTCCTAATTTCAGAAGTTTAACTGTTTTGAAATTGTCTTTTTGAATCTAAGCAGAATTGAACGTTTATTTTCTATATGGTTGTTTTCGGATTAATTACATCCATTTTAAAATTTCTGTTCGAAAAAACCAGAGGTTTGACCATTTGCTAGTTGCTTTATAGTTGTATACAAACTACAAGATGATAACTTGCAATAATGTCAATATACCTTGATAATTAAGTAATTTTCCATGCATCCAACTTTGTAACACTTGTATGAGGATTAGCGATAAAGCAAACTCTCAATCGGTCTAGGTGAAAAACAATTTGTAGCCAATGAGTTATCATCAACATAGAATCTTTATTTATTTATTGGAACACATGAATATTGGTACAAGAGAGCGCCAATATATATGCGCCACACAAAACAATGAGAATTCGAAGAGAAATAGAAAGAAAAAAAACTAAGGAGCGCAAAAAGAGAAAGAGAACAATAACGAAGAGATTGGTGTAAGGTAGTGTGGTAGTAACGAGGAAACGGAAAGGTACATTCAGAAGAAATCTTTCAGGTAAGGCAGACACAAGTAACTAATACAACTGCGAAGTAGCAAAAATAAGGCAAACTGAACTTGAAGTCCATTTCTGTCTAGACATGGAGAGAGCCTGTGATGTCTGAGTGGGGTGCAGGTGTGTTTGTACGTGCTAGATCAGTGCAAGTGAGGTCTTGATCAAGCAGTTTTACAAACATATGTAATTCAACTGCAATGTGTATTTTGGAAACAAAACTTCCATATTATTGCATAATTGTTGAGTACGAAGTTTTCCAGAGCTTTTGATCTGCATTTCTCAACTTTGATGGTAGATACTTTGTTTTGAAGTTCATGTTCATGTGAATCTCGGGGAAGGACTATCTTTCATGTTGAATAAGTAAGGTTTTTGAGTAGTTCGAAGAAGAGAATCAAATTAGACCCAAGCCGTCTTTTCCAGAGGGGTTCTATTGCTAAATTTTGGCATCGAGGTTTGTAGTCAATGACCGATCCAGTCTTGAGCATTTTGCGGGTGAAGCCTCGTTGTATTCCTTACACATTTAGTATACCAGATAGGCGTTAGTTGAAAAATAAGAACGAGCAGTATTCAACGATAGGTCTTACACAAACTTTATAAAGAAGGATTTTAGATTCATTGTGATAGAAATTACGGAGAATGAAGCCAAGCGATCTCCGCATTTTAGATGCTTTGACTGAGATGTGTTCAGAGAAATCGGGACTGTCTGATTAATGTACCCCTGGGTCAGTTACTGATGCCAGTATAGGTAGTGTGTTCTTGACAAGTGTTACTTTAATTTAAAGAGACGTGTCTACCATACATAACCGGCCGCATTCCTCTGTGTTGAGCCCTAACCTTCAGCGTTTGCGCCAATCGTCTACCATATTGAGTTCATGTTGGATTGTTTGCATAGTACTACGCACATAGCAAACGTCAGTTTCATAGATGACTTTTAAGCCATCAGCGTTGAGGTCAGTCTTACCTGTGCTAAATCCCTTGCTTATATTGCTGATGTAAGCTATAAAATGCAAAGGACCCAGGACACTACCCTGCACAACACCACTGGTTATTGGTCGAGGTGTAGATGTAGAGTTAATCTGGGTTATTTGGTATCTGTTTGTAAGAAAAGCCTTGATCCATTGCACACGGGGATTTATAATTTTAACTGACTTAAGTCTGCTTATTAGAAGATTATGAAGTGCTTTATCAGAGACTTTCTTAATATCGAAATATAGTATAACCATTGGTTGCTTCTGGTCACGTATGAGAGAAACCTCGGTAAAGGAAGTCTATCAGCCACGACATTGTTCTAATGAAGCCGTGTTGTGACTGGTTTATTAGACCTTCCTTAAGTAGGTGATTATATAGTTGATTTTGTATCACTTTTTCCATTATGCGTGATATGTTTGGAGTGATACTTATGGGTCTCGGTACGCATTTGTGTTTGTGAAGGACATACGTTACCTTCCAGGTTTCCGGATATGTACCTGTCTCTAAAGATAATGTATATATTTTGAGCTATAGCATCTGTAAGTTCGTTCCTGACATTTTATAAAGGATTGGAGGGACGTCATCGGCACCAGAACTAGCATTTGGCTTCAGGGTTTCAGTAGCGGTATGTATATTTCTAATTTCGAAGTTTGTGGTACTAAGATAGTTTTTGCTGATGCACTATATGTTTATATCTGAAGCGTGAGATGTATTCCCATTGTGGGAAAACCACTCACCTAATTAATTAATTTGATTTATTTATCTGCACACATGAACACCGATACAAGAGAGCACCAAACACACATGCACCACACAAAACAATGAGAACTTGAAGAGAAGGAGGGAAGGAAAAAGCAAGGGGAGTAAAGAAAATAAAGTACAGATTAGTGTAAGGTAGTGTAAGAATAATAATGGAGGAAACGAAAAGGTACAATCAGAAGAAATTTTTCAGTTAAGGAAGAAGCAACCACTTTTTATGAAGAAAGTAAAAGAAGGTTACAGTAGGATCGCCACTGGCTTCTATTCTGAGCCATATTTGATAACGTCTCTAGCCACTGTGTAGCACCATCTCTCGGACCCCAACCAGGGAGCCGTGAAGGACCGACAGAAGCCAGTCCTTTGCAGCTTTCTTTCATACCACGACACCATGTCATGAACTGACCACCTCTCCGCTTCTTCCAACCAGTCCCAGAGTCGGCAAATAATGCACGACGTGGAATTCTCTGGGACGACATTCGTAGAACATGTCCAAGCCACCGAAGTCGGTGTTTCAAGATGATGAACTTTCTATGTCTATGGAAATTACTTTTCTCGCTTCGAAAAACAATCAATTGATTCAAATTATTATCATTACAATTATTGTCATTATTAATACTATTATTATTATTACTACTATTATTGTCATTATTATTATTATTATCCACATTATTCACCCTCTTTTATACTTATACAGCGGCCCGTCTTTGGTGGAAATTCGACTGTATCTAAACGTTCTCGAGTCACTGTCCGGTTGAAAATTGTATGGTACCACTGAACACGAGAACTGAAGCAGTTTTTCTGAAACCACGTGCACCATTCAAACTGGCTGCCTTCAACGTTCGCACATTTATGCAGGTCGGACAACAGATAGGGCTGGCTATGTCTTTGGAAAGTCTTAATATCGATGTTTGCTGTCTATCCGAGACCCGTATTCAAGACTCTGGTGAAGTACTACAAATTCGCTCTCCATCTGTCGCTTCGAAAAGCTTGTTTTACGTGCGCTTATCCGGGGACCCTGTGGCATCTTCGTCTGGTCTCGCTGGCGTTAGTGTCGCACTAAGCGCTAGAGCAGAGGCAGCACTAGTCGATTGGATCCCCATTAACAGTCGGTTATGTGCTGTTAGATTAGAAAGTTCCATCAAAGTGAGAAGAAATCGGCGTGAGAAACGATGTCTTTTCGTCATCTCCGCCTATGCCCCGACAGATTGCAGCCCGGATGCAATCAAGGATGAGTTTTACCACCAGTTATCTGTTCTTCTCCAGAAAGTGCGTTCGACAGATATTGTAGTACTAGCCGGAGACTTGAATGCTCAGGTCGGGCGTCTAGGCACAGAAGAGAGCCGTTTAGGTGGCCGATGGGGACTCGTTGGTCTGGCATTTGTTTAAACTGACCTTAAGTGTCATACTGCAATAGGGCGATGAGATGAAACTGACAAGAATATCAAGTGAGACAGGAACAATGTGGTAGTAATTATAGTGATAAAGACTGAGGATTGAAACTAGGGAAGTGTAAAGAGATATATGAAGCAATAATGGGATTAAAATCTGAAAAAAGATAAGGAGTGTATGCATCAGGGCCATTATTGACGATTTTACATTATGTTGATCAAAGTCCTCAACTAGTGATCACGCGGGCCCCATCCAGTTACTTTTCATTTATTTACATGATTCAGATAAACAGTTAGGGACTTCATGGACTGATGCTATGTCGTCTCCAGCTTTCCTACAACTTACTCCTACACTAGAAAGCAATGCCCGTCGGATTAAGAGGTGACTAAACATACGTAATACATGTATTGGCTACTTTGATTAGTAAGGATTCATAAACTCATCAACCGATTTGCCCAGTAGCTTATGCATAACGTCAATACTACTAGCTCAAAATACGTCCTACACCCCGTAAATTAATAGTACCAACTCAAGTAATTAAACTGCTAAGTTATGTATTTAAATATGTATTTCTTTATTTGGAATTTTAAGGCGAATATTTTCTGTGGACCAAACCAAGGTTTATCTAAAAAAGACTGTTTCAGTGAACTTCAGTTTTTCCTATTGTCTGATGTATACTCTAGATTTAGAAAGGTTGAAAGATATGATGTTTCTGCACTTCATATTAGTGCATATTGACTGATACACAATATCTTGAATAGCACAGTTTATATGTTTGGCAATAACAGGTAAATACTATGAATTCCAAAAAGCAGTATACAACTAGCCAGGAAATATTTGTTGTTAGACTTCATGCAAACATGTAACTCAAATCCATGTCAACTAAATAGTACTCTGTTGTTGAAAATGAGAATCTTCATCGACTGTCTGGGAAATATGTTGCTTGTACTCGAAACCCGTCTATCACAACGTACTGTCGACCATATATTTCAAAACGGGAAATAGGGGCTGCCAAACCATGACCAGGGATCAGTTTAAAAAGTAAATAACCGTAGGTCTGAGCCATGTTAGTAGATCTAGACTAGCTAGATGGGATCTACGCGATAACCGCAATTAGTGACTGAAGATGGGTGACACTGCTGGTTACTATGACTCAAATGCTTTCAGACTTTAACTTCCGCCTCTTCAAATTTCAACAACACAAAACTTTTTCACTACGTCTTGTCGGATCATACCGTTAGTGACTAGTGTTACTAATATTTCGACACTTCAGTTACTCATTATGTTAATCTCATCTTGTGCTGATTTCGTACGGCATCTTCCACTGACATGAAGCTTGTTGAGGCTAATGTCCTCAATATCTGACTCCAAATAATAATATCCCGTAACTGAGTATTTTAGGTAGGCTTAATCTCCTAGTAGAATTGCAAATTTACTCGAGATTATTGAGAAGCCTGAACACCAGTTATAGAGATTGTTTACTGTTAATGAATAATAATAATCTACAAGCGTACGGTGAGCAAGCACACGATGAAACAGAGTGAGTGAGTCTGTTAAAAATCCATATATATTTGAGAGTTAATCGGGTGTGGATAGATTATCGATTATCTGCACATTGAAACCAATAGGAAGATAGCTTAAGAGTTAATGTATAGACATACATTCGATCATACACACCGAAATTAACATAGTGAATTGAGTCTGAGTTACAATGACTAGATAAATGATACAGTAGCCAAATGGGCTTGCCACAGGCTCTTTGTTAATGATGGTTGGCTGACTATTGAGTTATTCAGCCTAATGATGAAATAAGTTTATTTCTCTGTGTGGCAGTTTTAAGAGGAATTCAACGATTATTTTTAAATCATAGTAACGCACAAAATGCCTTGGGAAAGTCTTACACAAGTCTAATTACACTCCAAAATACAACGGTTTAGCCTTCCATAGCAAAGAAAACGATAATCGTTTTACTATTACATGCAAGTAAAAACTCATTTGATATGGAATTTAGTGCTTACAACTTCTGCTATTTCCCTTATTTTTAGCTATTCGTACGAAAGTTTTAAGTGGATGAAAAAACCTTAAATTTGTAATCATTCAAATTTAATTTACTTACTTGTGTCGCTACATCCCATAGCCTTAACCAACCTAGTCGATCTATAGAAGCAATATTACGACCACGATCTATGATGGCCGTGTCTAGGATACCAGTCCTATGACCTCCTGGTTCATTTTTATTATTAGAATTAGTGCAATTTAAACCAAGAGAGGCTGCACAACGACCAGTAATGAGACACCAAATTTTTAACTGCATATCACTGCCTGCTGTGAGTGCAACTAGCCCAGATGGAAAAAATTTGCAGGTATATACATCTCCGACATGACCTTCGAGAGAACGCTGGAAAAAAAAGGATGGAAGAAAAAACTTAACTGAAGCCACCAGTGGGAAATTAAAGAAATTTGTTGACCAAAATCGTAGCAAACGGAACCAGGCGTAAAATATGTACTTATCCTAATTGCTACATTTATATAAATAAAAGAAAACATAGAACTATGAAACAAAACTAATTCCACAAGATAAATGCAGTCCATAAATGAAAAGTAGGAAACGACGAGTTACAAGAAGATAACGAATATACGTATCCCTGAGTCATTACGATAGATTTAAATGTAACCCAAGGTCTTCATATATGTAAAATATACCTACTATATGTGGAAGAGTCATATCAATACGAACCTAAAAGTCGAGTTACACAAAGGCGACTAAACATACTGAGTCTACTGTAACGGACATAAGAGAGACTACTTTTTTTGACTGCATATTACAGAAACGAAACATTTTACCACGAAAACTGAGAAGTAAGCTACGGAAGATGAAATGACGTCTTCCTAAATAACGAAAACCAGTACTGATATTCAAAATATGTTCACCTTTTTCAAAAGAACGATTTGCTGTTTATGTAAATCATAGAAGATCATAGTCGATTTCCGGGTGTATTTGAAAATATACTAAAGATAAATTTGTAAGCTATTGTAAAGATGTCAATGAATCTCCCAGATATAAGTTTCGAAAAGAAAATTCTAAACAGTTTTGTTGAGTTCGAGACAGTCTTGCAATCAAATAACGTTCATGACATACATCACGCATGATGGTGGTTAAGGGTAGAATCGTAGTTGAGATATCCTGTATATAACTGAAACCAAGCTAACTCCACAGTTTCTTCTCAGTCTTCAGTAATAAAGACAGTAGGTTGATGAACCTGTATTAATCCTGGCACATTGCTTTACAGTGAAGGTCCAGCTTCTCCTTGAAAGTATTCACTGATGGGGCTGATACCACTTGTTCGGGTAAGGCGTTCCAATCATTGACTACTCGATGAGAAAAACGGGATCCCACTTTAAGTTTATTAGATCGTGGTTTATGAACCTTCTTGCTATGACCTCGGAGATTATTAGTGCTGGAGGGAGCAAAAAGATAAGACATATTAACACCCAAATCATAATTAAAGATACGAAATGCCAGTATAAGGTCACCTCGTGTCCTACGATACGACAAGGGGAAAAGATTTAGGCGTTTTAAGCGCTCATCGTAAGGGAGTCTAGAAAGACCCTTCACTAATTTCGTTCCCACACGCTGGACACGCTCAAGGGAGTTAGTATCCTTTACCAGACACGGGCTAGCTGCTTGGATACAGTACTCTAAATGTGGTCTTACATATATGGGATATAAAATTCGAAACGTTTCCTCGTCAAAAGATTTGAACGCTCGGCGAAGTGACCATAACGCACGAAAACCTTTGACAGCGGCTGCTTTGCAATGCGTAGTTGTTTTTAAATCATGACTTAATACTACTCCTAAGTCCTTATGCTCTTGAACGCATGGAAGAGGTTTACCCTCAATAGTGTAACGGTAACTATTACCGTGACCGACGTGCATTAGTACACTCTTCCTAGCATTGATTTCTAAGCCCCACTCTCGAGCCCATCTAACTAAATCGTCTAAGTCAGCTTGAAGATCCACATGATCAGCCGCACTTTTTATTGTTCTCCAGATTTTTACATCATCCGCAAACAATAATGTCGACGACCTAAGTAACAGCGGTAACTCATTAACGTAGAGAAGGAAGAGCAGAGGGCCTAAGATGGTGCCTTGGGGTACACCACTTTTGACCGGCTTCCAATCGGATAGCGTTCCATTGACCCTAACTCTCTGTCTGCGGTCACATAAGAAATTTCCTATCCACTCATGTACAGTACCTATTATTCCGAAGCTCGTGAGCTTCTGCATAAGACCTACGTGTGAAACCTTGTCAAACGCTTTGCTAAAATCTATGAATATCACGTCGACAGACAGACCGTGATCTAGGGCTGCTGTCCAATCCTCCCTCGCAATAAGCAAGTTAGTCAAGCATGAACGCTTGTTACGAAATCCGTGTTGCTCAGGAGCTAACAGATTGTGTAAATCTATGTGGCTTAGCAACCTAACCCGAATTATCTTTTCGAGTAACTTAACGACTATGCTAGTTAGACTGACAGGCCGGTAGTTAGATACTATCTGTCGCTGACCGTCCTTAAATATAGGACTAACTATAGCGTCCTTCCAATCTCTAGGGAGTTGGCGAGTGAGAGGGACATGTTGAAGAGTGTCGCAAGCGGTTTTGAAATAATGTCCGCAAGAGATGACAGCAACCGTGGATGTAACCCGTCAGGGCCCGGTATCTTACCAGGTTTGAGGTTAGTTATCAACGGAAGGACAGTTTCCTCAGTCACCTGTACGGATTCAATGGTTGGTATCTCGGTGTGAGTGGGACAAGTATTTGTTACAATAAACGTAGAGAAGACTTCGCTAAAATAGTCTGAAAAAGTCTCAGCTTTTGCTCGATCTGATTCAGCTAGTAATTCTGAATTTTCGTGTAACAGCAACGGGGGAATACCATCACTACGTTTCATTTGCCGTTTAACATACGAAAACAATCGTTTCGGACAAGTACGGCTATCATATACTAACTGTCGTTCGTAAGTGGTACGGGATTTAGCTATGGTTTTCTTACAGATATTACGGTATTTTTGGTACTCACGCTTAAATGGTGCATGACCTGTCAACAAGAATAAGTCCCAGAAATGTTTCCTACGCTTTAACAGCTTCCGGGTTTCCTTATTAATCCATGGAGGGCAATGTGATAGCTTACGTGCTGACCATGGGATAAACGGCGACGTTACGGACTCGAATGTAGCCTTAAACTTATTCCATTCATCTTCGATCAATCCATCCGCGTCGACCGACCAATCTGTCGAGATAGCACAGTTTCTGATTTCCGGAATATTAGCTCGCCAGATATTGGGACGGGGTGGAGCAGATACGAATTGTATACCATGTGTCCTAAACTTAAAGTGAATTACAACGTGATCACTGTTCACTAGTGGAGGAAGGTGCTGGATATCAAAGACATCCTCAGAGTGGTGGGTGAGGGCGAGGTCCAGCAGTGACGGATCATGATCCAAATCAATATGTGTCGGTTTTGTGATACATTGTACAAGTGCACACTGAATAACGGTAGATAAAAGGTCGCTATCGAAACCACTACCTGGAGCTGTAAGCTCTATCCAGTTGATATGCGGTGCGTTGAAGTCCCCAATGATGAGACAACATTCTGCCATACTCCAAGAACAGATGTGTCTTAGGATAAAGTCGTCAGCAAGACAAGACGGACTACGGTATATTCCCCCTATAGTCACTAACCCATTTCTAGATTTAATCTTACAACATGCAACCTCACATGTGCCACTGATATGAGCCTCCGATATGGTTGATTGTATACGAAAGTGATCCCTAACGTATAATATTATACCTCCCCCCTTGCGACTTGAAACTCTATCACTTCTAATACAGATATAGCCTGCAATGATGGGAGAACAGTCTATATCTACGGTGAACCAAGTTTCTGTAACAACGATTATATCGGGACATAATTCTTCCACCATCAGACTTAGCTCGGACGTTTTATTTCTAAGACTACGAGCGTTCGTGTAGCACACACTTAAGGTGTTTTGGAAATCAATCGTTCTACCCATACAGGCCTCGGAAGCATTGGCTTCCAAGACCTGACTACCCGAAAACCCTTAATGGTAAGGTTATTTTCGCCATTTAACTTGCGAGTTCTTAACTCCGTAAGAGCATTCTTCCACTTGATTTGATCCTCAAGCGGTCAATCTGGTCGAATACGGATATTTGAGTCACGAGTTTTTGTGCGTTTTTCAATAATATGTCTCTTTCTTCGAAACTCCCGAGAACCAGCTTCAGGATTCTTCTTGGTTGGGTCTCGCCTCCAACCCATTTACCAAGTCGTATTACTTTTGTAATATATACCCCTGAAACCTCTTCAGGTAGTACATTTCTTACCACAGACTCCACTAACTGCAGGTCATGTGCATGTCTTTTAGCAGGGTCGTTGTCTTTCGACTCCTCTAGATTCCAAATAATTAAACTAGGAAGGGGTTTAGCTTCTTTTGAAACTGTGTTCACAGCTTTCGACCGTGACGTTAGATCCTGTATATTAACTACTGGTATCTTACGATTAGTTTTTATTGTAACAGAGTCCTGGGAGTCGAGCGAGTGACTCACAACAATGTCAGACGAAGCTTTACTTTGGGACTTTGGCGGATTGGTCTGAGAGTCCACCAAGGACTTATCAAGTAAACAGTCATTAGTTTTAGCTATCTTTCCTACTCTTCTGCGTTTTCGCGTCATCCATTTTCCATCAGTCGAAACATCTACATTAGAACAACTCGGGACAGTATTGTTTTATCTGGATCACCGGTCGCTGCTGTAGCAATATGGCCACCAACGTCTAATGACGTGTCACTCACTAATCGTTTCGGGGGAGAACGTTTAACTGAGGGTTGCACAGGTAGATGTCTGACAGCACTTACGACACTAACGCAATCTTCGCCATCAGTACCAATGTTACCTGATCAACCTTCTTATTAGCCAACATCAGGAGGCTAATTGCTTCCTGGATGAGTAATGTTTTGCTCGAGCAACAAAAACTACAAAGCCAATGAGAGTTGGGCTTGGAGCACCTTTTATATACAGTGGGGTTTAATTGGGTGCACATCTTGTGGAACCACTTATTACACTCATCGCATTGTATCCTTTCCTCCACGGGGAATAAGCAACATGGTTGTTCACAGTTATGAGCAGAGCTAGCCATCGCGAAAATTAACTACAACGGTGACACAAACAAGATATGTAAAAGAATTCTCAAACCTTAACTAAATAAATCAAGTAAAAGTCGACCAAGTATGCTTCGATGCAATAAATACACAAGAGCAAAATCAAAACACTCAATACAATATCACTTTAACTGGAGTAGATGCAATTAAAGTGTAAACAGTGGTTTTGATGCGTAATTTACGATCAAAACAGTTAATTAACTTAACGAGAAACAATACCACTGTCGTTTTTAGATAGCGCGGGGATGTTCTCAAGGATTTTGTGGAACCCGAATACGACGGTGAAACTGATAGCAGACATACCTCGTGATATTCACATACATTATGTGGTCTAATTTTGACGGTACATTCAACAATGACTTCAACTCTGCGATAGGAAGCAGAGTACAGGTCATGTTTGAATTTTAGCGCGATAGTGACTCATCCACTTGGCTGAATAGCGTTTTGGCATTCTAGATGACATCGGTCAGTGATGAAAACCCCAAATTTAATTCTTAAATCAAAGCTCCAAAACATAATTCGGATTCCTCACTGATTAATGACACTTTATGACCTCATTAGTTAGGTGGGCTTTTCAGGGTCACTTGAGCGTTTTGCAAAGGTTCTTCACAAATTTCGGTCTTTCAGCTGGTGCCTTGTATGAGATTATACTTGACTTTTTATAATCACTAAGAATCAAGCCGTACCTGCAGGTACTGCTAAACACAGCAAAAGAGTTGGGGTTCATACTTTATCTCAGCTAGTTCTGTGGAAGTGAAAGATTCATAGCAAAACAACAACAAGACCGGTACATACCCGAATATTTCCTGTTATAGTTTCATACAAGTTTACAGATGACCCAGTGAAAGAAGCAATAAAATGTTCACCACTTGCACTAACATCAAAAGAAAATGTATGAGGACGAGGCTGATGATTACAGGTTCCTGAATTATGACCTGCATTTCTAGAAATACCGCTCAAAACGTCGAAGGAGGAATCTGGACACTGAAAAAATTTGTTGATGACTGGGTTTTCTGACGATAGTTTTAAGAGCTTCTAAAAAATAATTCGTTTGATAACTTAGCATTACAGGTGTAACTAAATCGCAAAAGACATCTTGGTTATCCGGTACCAGCGAAAACCCTCTGTTCTCCAGTTTGTGATACTTGGTAGAAACTTACAAATTAGCGGCTCATAAGACTCACCAGTGTCATACTGATGAAACCAAATGTATTTTTCATTTTCACTATCAGTTACAAAAAATAATGTCCATTTACCTTAAAGCCTTATCCCAGTTTGGTTGAATTCTAAAACCTGTTTGTAACATTTACCGTAACGAGGACGTTCAAACCAGACACTTAAGGATGCTTTAGGTCGTTAGAAGGTCACCTCTCAGACACATAAACTCTCAAGTTGGAAGTTTCAATGAACCAACTATCTAATAACCATAGTTAGTAAGGTTGTCATTTAATCCTAATATGAAAAGGCATTGAAACGCTTTCAAGCGTTATGCAACCAAAATACTCAATATAACAACAACGCGCGCTATTTAAAAGGAACAGTAGTAATTTAGGGGCACAGTCAGGTTGTTATGCCACGGGTCTTCGCGCACATGTAACATATTGTCGAGGATTTTTTGTGCCGTTATTTATCAGCTATTAACAGCCTTTTTTTCTTCACACGTCAATTTTCGTAATGTTTGTGCTTTCTACTTAGTTTTTATTCCAATTTATTAGCAGTTTGACGTATTTCTCGCTCACCACCTGAGTGAATCTTTAGTAAACCTAATATGGTTATTTGTAACATTACAAAGTCGAGCAAGTAAAATTTACAATCTTTCAAGCCAAAAAATAGATCACAGATTGAGTTACCAGGAAAATGAGCTTTAAAACGTATTACATATGGTTCACATCCTTGATCGTGGTGATGATGAACATGGATGTTGGTAGTTGTTTATAAAATGTAGGTAGAAGCAATTATGCCTTAATCTGTTAATTAGTATTATGTAACTTGTTAATATTTAGCCATAAACAGTTATATCCGTTATAAGTATCACCGTTTTGTACTGAAGTGACTTAATATTATTTAACGTATCTGAGAAGAATTATGTGAGTAACAATTGACGTTGACAATCGTCTCCATCCGCTTTCTGAACGTATATAGGAACAGTATACAAAAATACTGGAAGTGCTACATTAAATTGTATTCGAATTTGGATTACCAATTGTAGCGTGGTGTCGAGTTGAGATTAACTATGAACACCGCTACCAAGAAACACGAGCCAAGCGAATCAGAAGGCGAGTGTTGGACGTAACCAAATAGATCCATAAAATCCCCGAGAAGCCAAATACCAGAAGGCAATTAATGGACCAAGTCGAGGTTTATTAGCTGGCGATCTCGTGGCATCGAAAGGATACCGAGATCGTGCCAGGATACAAGCTTGGTTACAGAAGGTAACCGAATTCGCGCGAAGTTACAATCAAAGTGTAAGCGAAAGAATGGAAGCACAAAGTAGCTGTCATTAGCACAGTCAAACAAAAGCACGTTAAAACAAACACTGGTACAGTTGGTTATAATTATAATTGTTTTTATTAAACCAGTCGTGTTCTCGTGATAAATGTGAGTCACTACAGGAGCCCCCCGCCAGAAAGGGTTTACACTTTCGATAAAAAGCGGTTTGAATCGTGGGACTGATCGGCTGACGAGCGATTGTAGGACGGAAGAATTGGCGAACAGGAAAGCGATCGTTGATCGTCGAGTTGCCAACGAAGGTCGTTTTCGGAGAACGGTACCAGGAGCGATGTGTTGTATTTATTGCTTGAGTTGGCATGCTACACGAAAGTGGTTTGTATCCAGAATCTGAGGATTGCGTTTGTAGGGATGCGGACCAGAAACGCTGCAGACGAAGGACGAAACCACGTTGAGCCGATGAACCAGAAGCGACCGTAACGACCAAGTTCGAGACCAAGCGTATGCCAAGCATTCGAAACCAATATATCGACTGAGTGCGTTGACAAGAGCATGGGTGGCCAGTCCAGCTTTCGCCAAAGTTGACTGAAGTCGACGGAACCAAACGGAGATGGTCGAGGGCGTGAGCTCAGGAAACAAAAAGAAAATCAAAAAAGAGAAGAGTGTAGCATGCAAGTAGCATAGGAATATTCCTACACCGTATCGGTTGTCGACTGTGCGACTAGTCGAGGAAGCGTACGGGTAACCGTACTCGGCGACCGGAACGTGAGACGATAGTCTCTTTCGCGTCGCGTGAGCCTGCAATCTCATCCGAAGTCAAGGGCGGCGTGGTCTGCTGATCTGGACGTGAGACTGTCGTCTCGTCCGTAGACGGTGCAGATGACGCGTGCTGTTGACTGGGACGTGAGAGTGAGGTCTCAGTTGTATCTAGCGTGGGACCTGAAAATGGTTTGAGGATCCCGCTAGTAGGTTTGCTAGGTCTAGCATTGAATCTCAGGTTATCAGATAGGGCACTGTCATCGACGTGTGCTGGTTTGAGACGATCAATGCTGACGATCTCGACGCGGCCATGTCGATCAACCTTGAAGGTCTTTTCGTGACGAGCGATCACGTGAAAAGGGCCTTCGTAAGGTTGTTGCAAAGGTTTGCGTACCGAATCTACTCGTATGAAAACATGTGAACAGGTAGATAACTCTCGAGGGAGAGCGACCTGTCGATGTTGTATTCGAGTTGACACCGGAGACAGCGTTCGCATAAATGCAGACAGTCGATGGACGTAGTCTGATTTACCGAAATTAGGTCTGCTCCGTGGTGTGAAGAATTCTCCGGGCAGACGCAATGTCGTGCCGTATACAAGTTCAAGGGCGGAACATTGGATATCTGCCTTCAAGCTCGTTCTGATCCCTAAAAGAACGAGCGGTAAGGTTTCGTGCCAGTTGCCGTTTTCGTGTGCTCGTAGAGCACTTTTAAGTTGGCAGTGAAACCGTTTACTTAACCATTTGGTGCTGGGTGGTAGACGGATATGCTTATGCGTATGCATTCCGTACCAAGCAGCCGGGTCAGCGAGGAGAATAGTTAATAGGGGAAAATTTCTCGAATAAAGCGTGGAATTCATTATCACGCGAATAAAAAGTGACAAGGATTCGGTACACATACATGTGAGTCTATTATATTAATACTATTCTTATCGTTATCCGTCATGTCGAGTATATTATATATTAAAAATATGAAAATATACGACAGACGTGGATAGATAAATCATAGACTCACCGAATTGGCTTCTTTGGAAGATTTGATCAGAAGTTGAGGCGTGTTCCAAAATACGGGTCACCAATTGTATTCGAATTGGGATTACCAATTGTAGCGTGGCGTCGAGTTGAGATTAACTATGAACACCGCTACCAAGAAACACGTGCCAAGCGAATCAGAAGGCGAGTGTTGGACGTAACCAAATAGATCCATAAAATCCCCGAGAAGCCAAATACCAGAAGGCAATTAATGGACCAAGTCGAGGTTTATTAGCTGGCGATCTCGTGGCATCGAAAGGATACCGAGATCGTGCCAGGATACAACCTTGGTTACAGAAGGTAACCGAATTCGCGCGAAGTTACAATCAAAGTGTAAGCGAAAGAATGGAAGCACAAAGTAGCTGTCATTAGCACAGTCAAACAAAAGCACGTTAAAACAAACACTGGTACAGTTGGTTATAATAATAATTGTTTTTATTAAACCAGTCGTGTTCTCGTGATAAATGTGAGTCACTACAGGAGCCCCCCGCTAGAAAGGGTTTACACTTTCGATAAATAGCGGTTTGAATCGTGGGACTGATCGGCTGACGAGCGATTGTAGGACGGAAGAATTGGCGAACAGGAAAGCGATCGTTGATCGTCGAGTTGCCAACGAAGGTCGTTTTCGGAGAACGGTACCAGGAGCGATGTGTTGTATTTATTGCTTGAGTTGGCATGCTACACGAGAGTGGTTTGTATCCAGAATCTGAAGATGGCGTTCGTAGGGATGCGGACCAGAAACGCTGCAGACGTAGGACGAAACCACGTTGAGCCGATGAACCAGAAGCGACCGTAACGACCAAGTTCGAGACCAAGCGTATGCCAAGCATTCGAAACCAATATATCGACTGAGTGCGTTGACAAGAGCATGGGTGGCCAGTCCAGCTTTCGCCAAAGTTGACTGAAGTCGACGGAACCAAACGGAGATGGTCGAAGGCGTGGGCTCAGGAAACAAAAAGAAAATCAAAAAAGAGAAGAGTGTAGCATGCGTGTAGTATAGGAATAATCCTACACCGTATCGGTTGTTGACTGTGCGACTAGTCGCGGAAGCGTACGGGTAACCGTACTCGGCGACCGGAACGTGAGACGGTAGTCTCGTTCGCGTCGCGTGAGCCTGCAATCTCATCCGAAGTCAAGGGCGGCGTGGTCTGCTGATCTGGACGTGAGACTGTCGTCTCGTCCGTAGACGGTGCAGATGACGCGTGCTGTTGACTGGGACGTGAGAATGAGGTCTCAGATGTATCTAGCGTGGGACCTGAAGATGGTTTGAGGATCCCGCTAGTAGGTTTGCTAGGTCTAGCATTGAATCTCAGGTTATCAGATAGGGCACTGTCATCGACGTGTGCTGGTTTGAGACGATCAATGCTGACGATCTCGACGCGGCCATGTCGATCAACCTTGAAGGTCTTTTCGTGACGAGCGATCACGTGAAAAGGGCCTTCGTAAGGTTGTTGCCAAGGTTTGCGTACCGAATCTACTCGTATGAAAACATGTGAACAGGTAGATAACTCTCGAGGGAGAGCGACCTGTCGATGTTGTATTCGAGTTGACACCGGAGACAGCGTTCGCATAAATGCAGACAGTCGATGGACGTAGTCTGATTTACCGAAATTAGGTCTGCTCCGTGGTGTGAAGAATTCTCCGGGCAGACGCAATGTCGTGCCGTATACAAGTTCAAGGGCGGAACATTGGATATCTGCCTTCAAGCTCGTTCTGATCCCTAAAAGAACGAGCGGTAAGGTTTCGTGCCAGTTGCCGTTTTCGTGTGCTCGTAGAGCACTTTTAAGTTGGCAGTGAAACCGTTTACTTAACCATTTGGTGCTGGGTGGTAGACGGATATGCTTATGCGTATGCATTCCGTACCAAGCAGCCGGGTCAGCGAGGAGAATAGTTAATAGGGGAAAATTTCTCGAATAAAGCGTGGAATTCATCATCACGCGAATAAAAAGTGACAAGGATTCGGTACACATACATGTGAGTCTATTATATTAATACTATTCTTATCGTTATCCGTCATGTCGAGTATATTATATATTAAAAAATATGAAAATATACGACAGACGTGGATAGA